GTCCTCTCACGTCTCCTCCTTTCTCTCCTCCATGCTCCCTGCTCTCCGTGTTTCAGATCAGCTACACTTTTACTGGTTTTTCAAGGCGATTGCTCTGCAGTGTAGCCACAAACCTGGTTTGCTATTGAGAGCAAATGGACTGAGCTTTCAGCTACTCTGCAGCCATCTTGGAATCCTGCATGAGTTTCTGAAAGGCACTTCATTGTTACAAAGTAGTTGTTCCCAATCAGGGGTTATTCTGTCCCCACCCAGGAGACAGTTTGGGTTGGCACAATGAGGGGAGTGCACCTGACATCTGGTGGGTAGAGGTTAGGTATGCTGCTAAATGTCTCACAATGCATAGGACAGGCCCTTACAACAATTATCTGGCCCAAAAGATCACTAATGCTAAGATTGAGAAACTCTGTTGTAAACTTCTGGGATTATTATTAATACAGCATAACCTAACCTATCCTGGCTAATATAGCAACTACCACACTAATTTTATGATAGCCAATATAGAAATATTTGGATTTAATCAATTAGATATATTGGTTATTAGGAAGACAGGTTTGAAAGAAATCCAGGAAATAAAAATGTAGATATCATACTATGGCATAAGAGTTTGAAGGTGACTCAGAAGGTTCAGAAGCGTCCAGTTTCACCACTGTTATTAGGCAGATGCAAATATTCAAGATTAACAAAAACCAGGCAGAAAGGTCAAAAACTTGTATAGTTTCAGGTTGAGTTCTCCAGTGAACTCAGATAGTAAAATAAGGGAGTTTTGTAATCAGAGATAAATATGAGTCTTTTACATTCCTCTAAAAATAGCAATGAAAAGCTACATCCCAAAGTTAATAAAATTTAGGCCTGCAAAAAGTGCTAAGATCCAAAGAGGGTTTTTTTGCTTGTTTTAGTTATATGAGAAGCAAGACCAAGCAAGAAATGGAGCTCTTGTTTGATGCTTATGAACTAACAGAAAGCAGAACAACTCATCCAGAGTAGCCTCGTTTACTCCTCATTGGCCACCAGCCTCAGCAGGACTACCTACCTCCTGTTCTGCCACCATAGCTGATTCTCCAGCAGCCTTTTTGAGGCAGTAGGCTTTTCTAGCTCTGCCTCTTAAAGCTTTGCGTGTACTTGCATTCTTGAATTATTATCACAAGCAATTACTGCCTGCCTTTGTGGCTTGGAATCTCCCCAACTTTGAAACTTTAGAAATAAGTTATATATTTTATTTATTTTTAATTTTAGAAATGATTTTTTTTAAGCTTCACCTGAAGATATTTTTCCATTGATATTTTTGTTTTATTTTTTTAATATATTTTTTATTGATTTCAGAGAGGAAGGGAGAGGGAGGGAAAGATAGAAACATCAATGATGAGAATCATTGATCAGTTGACTCCTGCATCTCCCCCCTACTGGGGATGAGCCTGCAACCCAGACATCTGCCCTTGACCGGAATTGAACCCGGGACCCTTCATTCTGCAGGCCAAGGCTCTATCCACTAAGCCAAACCAGCTAGAGCACTCATTGATTTTTAGAGAGGGAAAGACAGAAATATCAATGTGAGAGAAACACATTGACTGACTGCCTCCTGCATGGGCCTCAACCAGGGCTGGGTCCAGGGAAGAACCTGCAACCATGGTACATGCTCTTGACTGGAATTAAACCCAGCACCCTTCAGTCCACAGGCCAACACTCTATCTACTGAACCAAACTGGCTAGGGCTAAATGACAGGTTTTAGATACACCTATCCCTTCTTAACAGTCACACCTACACTATAATGGGATGCTATGTTTCAGAGGCAGTGGTTCCCAGAATTTTAAGTATTTTCAAGCAAAGGCCAGAGAGCTACTTGGTTGTCTGTCTTCTTCCAACCCTGATTGCCTATAATTCTAAATTGAAAACTTGAAGTCCAGAACAAATTTCAGCATTTGTCTCAATTCCTAGTATAGTTTAGCAATGTCTAAATTCAGGATCCTAGGAAATAAATTAGCCAGTCTTTCTGTAGCCATAAAAACTCCCTTGAACCTTCTCCTTTCTCTGAGGGTAGAAGGGGTAACTGCAGGGTCCTGATTGGAATCCATGAGAATTTCCTCATCACAATTCTAAGCCTTTCTTGTCCACCTATCCAGTGCTGTTTGTTTCATTGCCTACTGTCATGCCTTAATCACCAAATCCATGTTCTAAAATACCTGCCTGTTCATTGAAGGCCAAACAAGTTCATAGAAGAATTACTAGGATGTGGTCAACAAGCTGTGTTAGCATGACAACAAGCCTGTTGTACACTTTGTCCTCACCAGTTTATTGACTATAGGAGACTTTAGTAAGAGGAACCGTTTCACTTCTCTCTCACTTTATTTCCGCTGAGTGATAAAAATCCTGCCTAATGTTTTCTCTTTTATGATAATAACTAGAGGAGAGGGGGATACTGCAAAGGGGGTGGGGGGGCTGTCCCTCAGCCCAGCCTACACCCTCTCCAATCGGACATCCCTCTCACAATCCAGGACTGCTGGCTCCCAACTGCTTGCCTTCCTGCCTGATTGCCTCTAACCACTTATGCCTGCCAGCCTGATCACTCCTAACTGTCCTCCCCTGCCAACCTGGTCATCCCTTATTACCCACCCCTGCCGGCCTGGTAGCCTCCAACTGCCCTCCCCTACAAGCCTGCTCATCCCTAACTACCCTCTTCTGTAGGCCTGGTCACCCCTAACTGCCCTCCCCTGCTGGCCCAGTCACCCCTAACTACCCTCCCTTGCCAGCCTAGTTGCCCCCAACTGCCTTCCCCTGCTGGCCTGATCACCCACAACTGCCCTCCCCTGCTGGCCTGGTCACCCACAGCTGCCCTCCCCTGCTGGCTATCTTGTGGTGACCATCTTGTATCCACATGGGCACAGCCATCTTTGACCACATGGGGGCAGCCATCTTGTATGTTGGAGTGATGGTCAATTTGCATATTACTTCTTTATTATATAGGATAAGGATGAGGTATATAGTATTTGAAGCATATTCTTGAATTATAATATTCTTTATTATTCTCTATTATTTGTAAAGTTTATCTCAATCAAAAGTTCTAAAGTCAGCCATGGCTAGGTGACTCAGGTAGTTGGGGCATCATCTTGTCACCAAAAAGTTTTCGAGTTGGATCCTCAGTCAGGGTGTACACAGGAGGTAACCTGTTGATGTTTTTCTCTCTCTCCCCCTGTCTCTCTATCTCTCTCTCTCTCTCTTCCTCTTTAAAATCAATAAACATATCAGGTGAGGATTTTTTTAAGTTCTGAAATCAAAACAAGGGGATGGCTTAAAAGTAAAGTGAGGCAAAGTTTAAGAAGAGCATATAATATAATGTGGCATTTAAAAATAAAAATATGTTTTACCGATTCCTAATTTTTTGTTTATTGCAATAAGTCATTCTGTTTTTGTGCCTTCACATTCTTAACCTTACAAATGTCTACCTACCTCCCCAAAGAATTGTCAAGTCACAAGATAATAGAGATAGCAAATAAAACAGTCTTTAATCAAGGAAAGAATAATCAAAGAAACACAAATTAATATATCAAGTTACTGTTTTTTCTTGTGAAAAATGTTTTGTTGGTTTTTCTTTTGAACTTTTTCTTAATATTTATTTATAAACTACAAAGTAATGTGGTACTTTTCTATGCCTTCAATTCTAAAACTATATACATAAAATGAAAAGAAATATTTTTGTTGTTTTTTATTACAAAAATATATCTTCGTTGTAGAAAATAAGGAAATACAGATAAACGATGTCACAGTGGCAATGCAATTAACATTTCGTGATATAGAATCATTCTTTTTCTTTTTTTTTTTTTTTTTTTTTTTTCTTTTTTTTTTTAATATATTTTATTGATTTTATACAGAGAGGAAGGGAGAGAGATAGAGAGCTAGAAACATCGATGAGAGAGAGTCATCGATCAGCTGCCTCTTGCACACCCCTCACCGGGGATATGCCCGCAACCAAGGCACATGCCCTTGACCGGAATCGAACCCGGGACCCTTCAGTCCCCAAGCCGACGCTCTATCCATTGAGCCAAACCGGTCCCGGCGAGAATCATTCTTTTTCTTACTCATGGCTATAATGTATCTAAGTCTCATTGATGTGCACGTAAATTTCTTGTCATTATAAGTAATGCTGCAATAAACATCCTGTCAATCTTAGTTTTGTATCTCAAATTATTTTTTGGGACTGGTTCCTAGAACCATTATTGCTGAGTCAAAGCATATTGCATTTTTAAGGCTTTTGATTATCTTTTGCCAAATTGCTGACAGAAAGGCTGTATCAAATGTACAAGAGCACTGGTTGATGCATTCTCTAGTCCAGCTCATTTATGCTGTTTTCTTATCTTCACCACTTTGATAACTCCAAAATTTTATCTTGTTGATTTAATTCGTAGTTCTTTGTAATAATGAGACCATATTTTACAATACATGATATAAAAATTGCAGGTGGATATCTTAACAAAATACTACAAAGTAAAGAAAAATCTTCATTGTCACATTATTTATAAGAGAAAACAAACATACATGTACCCCCTACATGTTCAACAAAAGGAAAGCAGTTCAATAAAAACAATAAATTGTACATACTCTTTAAATGTATAAGAAGAAAACCTGAAAGGAAATATACCAGAATGTGTAGTGCTTCTGTGTAGTGATAGGTGATTTTTAATATTTCATAATTTTTAATATTTTCCAGATTTTTTATAATTAACATTTGTATCATATTTGTGAAGAAAACACATTTTGTTATGTACACTGCATAAAAGGGTGCACGAGGGGAGAGGAAACTATCCACCTGCAATTTGTGTAGCGTGCGTTCTAAAGATGATATTAAACATTTGACACTGAAACAGGGAACTTGGACAAATAACATAAATAAGATTCTGGTGAGCAGTTAATTGTCCAAATGCTAAAAGTTTTGTATGCTTGAGAACATGATAATTGTTGAATCCCCTGAAAATAATGACTATGTTCTGTTTGTTTGTATCCTTCTTAGGTTGCTGCTGTTGACCTTCTGGTTCCTGGAGTTGGAGAGCTCTTTGGAGGAAGCCTCCGAGAGGAGCGGTATCATTTCTTAGAGCAGCGGCTGGCCAGGTATTGGTCAGACCTAAAAGAAACAAAATTCAGAAATCGGGGACAGGAAACTCAGAGGCAGTCATGACAAAGTAACAGAGGACAGTTCACAGGCCGCAGCCACTGGCAGACCTGAAATTCAGATTCTAGTGACCTTGCACGAGTTCTTACTGGATCTTTCTCAGCTTCCCTTTCTTAACAAATGGAACTGTTACATGAAACAAGGCCACAATAAAAACTGAACGTTAATGATGGGAGGAGGAAGATTTTCCCATTAAAGCTTGCCCTTCATTTTTATTTTTCTCTTCTCTATGTTCTTTTTATATACTCTATGAGTCCTGTAGGGCCATAAAGAAACAGACTCTGAACCAGGGAAAGGATAAAGATGGAAATAGAAAGATACTAAAAATATCTGCTAAGCTATTTAGGAAAAGCAGTTTTCTCTTCCTCAGATTTTCTACATGGTGTAAGAGTCTTGATTTAACTATTTAAATAACGTACTTAACTATCTGTCCAGTGCCTGGGAAGTGAATTGGTGAACACACAGAAAATGTTTTGGAGAAGAGAAATAGGGAATCATGTTTCTAATTGAACTTCCACTTCCATAGATGCATGGTCTGCCAACACACCACAATGACTTCCTAAACTCACAAGGGTTATAAACCTCTGTTTTCCACTTTTGCTGTGCCAACCATTTTTTTTTTAAGGCTTTCCCATGTTGAAGTTATAATCCTTCTCTCCAGATAATACTGTTATTTTTTAGAGCAACCTGGAAAGTAACCTGGAAAAGCCATAATTGTTTGAAAATATCCTGCTACATTGCAATTTGTAAGGCCTTCGTTACCTAATGGAAAAATGCTTAAAAGGTTGATGTTTTCCAAGGTTTCAACCTATAAATCTGTTGGCAACTTGGTTTTGTAATCCTATTTACTTGAACTGCTCTATTTGGTTAGGGTCCAGAAGAAGGGAGTAAGTATGTTTTGGGAGGACTCTTTTTTATTAGAGTACTGACTCCTTACCACAACCAACATGTTAGAAAGTCCTGGGAAAATCATAGAATTGAAGTAAAGGTCAAACTCCTTAGATGGAAAGAATTTAAATATTCACTGGGTGTGTTTTTTGGGGTTTTTTTAAAGCACAATAAAAATCACACATGGCAAGAAACCTCGTCTGTTGAAAGATTAATTGCTCTGTTTTCTTTGCTTGCTTCCTTCCTTCAGGAAATCTTTCCTCATAACATTAAATGTTTGCCTAATATCTGATAATATCCAAATTTATCTTTTCTAGTGAAATGGATATGCATTGCCATCTCTCTCTGATCCGTCTGTGACTTCTGTTTATGTGTTCTATATTTTTGTATATTTGCGTTTTTCATTGTCCTGATCACTTCAGATATATTTGTCCCAAACACTTTTTTAAAAGACTGGAATTAATTTAAATGAGTACTAAAAGCTACAAACTTTTAACACTTAATTGGCAAAAGCCAATTAGCAATCATATTATGAAGGTAGCCTCAGAATCTATATTATTTTAATGTTACAGTGAAAGGTGTGTCTGTGTGTCCTTTGTTTGTGTGTGCCTTCCAACAACCTTCAGTAGCAGTAATAGTCCTTTTTTGTGTGACAAGACAATACACTCATCCAAGTGAACCCCTGGGTCATACTTCTAAAGCATTTATTGACTATTTGATAACACCTGGGACTATTGAACTTGCCTTTCTGACCGTACAGTAAAGGTTCAGCCCCTCAACCAGGTTGATGTTATTTGAGAGCATGAGTTTTGGTGTGCACTTCTTTGTAAAGAGCACACAACCCAGAACAGATATTTAGTGATTAATATGTTTACCTTACTGACATTCTCTGAAATAATTCTGTTGTATTCCTTTTACAGATCCGGACTGACAGAAGCCTACCAATGGTAAGAAGGAAACCCCTAATGATTCTTCTAGCTGTTGGTTTGAGCATTACATAGTTTTTACTTGTATTTCCAAGGCTCTATGAAAGAGTGTTAAAAACAATGAACAAGTTCACAGAAGATTTTTTTTTTTGAGTCCTTGAAAAATAGCAATAATGAGAAAAAAAGAAAAATAGTAGTAATGGCTGCCATTTGTTTATTACTTATTGTGTGCTGGACAACTGTGTTACAGTTTGGTGTATATTACCTCATGTAAACAGCATAACACCCTGTGAGTTAGGTACTGTTCTTGCTCCTTTTTAACTGTGCCTTCAGACCTGAGACCTAGAGATGTTAACTAATTTCACTAAGAGCACAGCAGTTGAAAGCATAGATCTGGGACTTTGTTCCTAACCATTATGCTTCAGTTTCTCTCTCTGTGAAATTAGGGGCTTGAACTAAGTGACCCCTAAGTGATCTTCACCTACCTTTGAATTCTAAGCTGCTTAGGGAAGACCATCTGTCTGCACTCATACATTTACTTCTCAAAGTTTTCTGGTTTTCTTTTCTCACACTCTTTCTTCAGATACTTTTTCATATATGCAAAATTTTTATTTATATTTCTGTGATATACTCTTTTTAGGATATTGGTATAATGTTATCAACAATATTATTAATTCTTCACCTGTCCTCAGGAGAAGAAAGGAACTGATTACACACTTGTCTTTTGGAAACGAAGGAACTAAAATTTCAGAAATGCAAAAAGCCTAAAATTGGGTTTAGGTAATAGGCCTTGAATGCCTTTGTTTTTGTTTTTTTATCAGAAATGACCTTAGGCCTGGTTAATCTCTCCGAGTCTTGGTTTTCTTGGCTAAAAGATGGAATGATAATATTATTTCACAGGGTGTTGTAAGGATGAAATGAGACAATATAGGTTAAGTATTTACATAGAACAGAAGCTCAGTAAATGCTAGTGCCTCCCCTACCCCCACCTTCCTTTGTCCTGACTTCTGCTATTAGGTAGATGAGCCTGACTGGTCAAGCGTATGCATTTTACCTCGGTTTCTGTCTACAAGTATATGAAAACTAGCTAAATGCAAATTTTAATTATTGGTTAAATAAATTTAGGCCTTTTCTGGTCTTTATTGATCATTTCAATACTATTTTTTTCCAACTAAAGTTTTGTCAAACTGTTAAGCTCTTTAAATATAAAGATTTATTATTTGAAGGTCCTTCCTTTTAAATGGTTACCATATTACTTGAAAAGGTAGAAGGGGTTTCCAAAATCTTCAAGTCTGTGACCTCTGCTAGTGTTCTACCCACTCTGAGTGGCCACACCAGGTGTCTAAGAATTTACCCACTTCCTATTTCTACATGCCAAATGCAAGTAAAACCTGTAACTAGTTCCACAAATTCTGTACCATCTCTTTTATAATCTGGCTACCCTAGAATAAACAATTCATCAAATACACATTCTTTAGAAAACTTGTTTCTAAGAACTGGCTTTTTTCATCTACTAAAGCAAAGGCAAGAAAAGTGTTGAGTTCATTTTCCAGACATATCAGTGTTTTTACATCAAGGTATGAGAAATTTAGAACCACCTGCAGGCGTCCTCAAACTTTTTAAAGTGGGGGCCAGATCACGGTCCCTCAGAGAGCTGGAGGGCCGGACTATATGAACTACTAATTCCTACTGTAACACCTCGGTTGCGCTCACTGCCCAAAAAACCTGGCGGGCCGGATCAGACTCCTCTGCGGGCCGCAGTTTGAAGACGCCTGTAAAGCTTTAGCTGGACTTCTAGCTGCCAGCTCAGATCCTGCAGGTGTTTGTGGCAGTGGTTCAATATGCCCTTCATCTTGCTTTCTCACTAAACCAAAGTATACCCTGCCCCTGTGTCTTATAAACTTAAAGTTAATTCAGCTGCCAAGCATTTTAATAGTTGATGACTGTGTTCCATCCATTATTCCTGACAGCTCTTACTGATCTTAAGTTTTATGCTAGTTGTTCCTGTGTGTAGATCTCTCACTTGGTTCTAACTCACCTAATTGCAGTTCATATTTTATTTTAGAAAGATAATTACTTAATCTTAACCAAAAAAAAAATACCTGTACATGTGGCCATGATTGTTAACAATGGGAAAATAAGTGACAGTCTTTATCCTGGAGGAGCCAAATGACTCCCAGCTATGGTGTTGAAGTTCTATTCGGGAACTGATTTTTACAAATCATTCAAGAAGCTCTAAATTTATCTTAATATTATGTAACTCAAGAATTCTCCCACCAAATGACATAAGAAGATTTATAGAATCTTCCTCCTCCTCTTCTTTCCTAAAATACCTGTATCCCAGGTTGCCATATTGGCATTTTTTAGCCATCTTAAGTGGGAACAGAATGTTTATGAATGGGCTTCAGAGGTGCCCAGCCTTCCAGGAAAATTACTCCAGACACCTTCCACTAGGCGTGAAGCAGAGAACTGGAAGTTTCTCCTCACTCCAGTGCTCACGAGTATATTTTTGTACCTTCAAACGATGAATCTTTATAAAGTAAGTGTCTACTCCAGAGCAGGCACTGGAGATGGAAGAGTGAATAAAATGCAGGTCCTGCCCTTGATGTAGCTGACAGTCTAATCTTATAGGACATACCTTCTTGTAATTTATCAGGCAAAATTCTTCACTTTTTTCTGTGTATGAACAATATGATTTTGGTGAGAAAAAAAAGAGCACTATTTACATACTAAGAAATAGGAAAGGAATTTATTTTGAAGAAAATTAGTAAAGTTATTAGAAAATTTCCTGTGGCCTCATGAGGTAAGTTTCTATATAATTAAATAAGTAACTTAAAAGAAAAGGATCAAGTAACTAAAGCCCATGAATGAATGAATGACAGGATTTGCTGCTGTTTGTCTGGGTAACACTGGACAGATAATTTTTAATTTCTTCGTGTCCTTTAGTCTGGTCTACCACAAAGACGTGAATGATAAATGATTACAAAATACTTTTTTGAAACATAAATTCCATTATAAACTCTGACCCTATACAGCATTATAGATTATGATTCTCTGTTTCTCAAAATCAGGTATCTGGACCTCCGTCGATTTGGATCTGTGCCACATGGAGGTTTTGGGATGGGATTTGAACGCTACCTGCAGTGCATCTTGGGAATTGACAATATCAAAGATGTCATCCCTTTTCCAAGATTTACCCATTCATGTATTTTGTAACTGGAAAACTGGTTAAGGGAAATCATGCAAGCCAGAGGTGCTCCACATGCATGTGCCTACAAGAAAACATATGTTTGGATTTTAGAAGGGCAGAAGTTTTCAAAATGTGCTTGTCATACCATAGCATATAACATGAAAAATAAGTGATCATGATTTTCTTACAAAATTGAGACATTTCATGGAAAGATGAACTCTCCCAAGAAGAAGTACTTATAGCCTATAGATGTCTAATCAATTATGTCAATTAAGAAGAAATGAAGAAATTGAACTAGATGGTTCCAAAGGTCCTTTCAGACTCTAAAAAGAGGATGAGATAGTGTACTTTGTCTTTAATGATTAGCTCACTGCTTTGTGTGACCTTTGAGAAACAACTAGCAACTAAAAATAAAATGTTGTTGGACCTTTTCTTTTCTTACCATTTAACCTATGACAAATGCCCATGTTATTCTCTGTGTTTTACTAAGCATTATAGAAGAAAATATTCCTTTGGGTTTTAAGTTAATAAACTGCTATTCTGAATTGAAATCTTTTATCAGACTGGATGAAAAAAATGACATTTGGTAACTGTTGAGCCTCAATAAAATGGATATAGAAGGAAAGTACCATAAAGGCCATATATGACAAACCCTCAGCCAATATCATACTCATTAGTGAAAAATTGAAAGCTTTCCCTCAAAGATCAGGGACAAGACAAGGATGCCCCCTCTCACCACTGTTATTCAACATAGTACTGGAAGTCCTAGCCACTGCATTCAGGCAAGAGAAAGAAATTTTAAAAGTATCCAAAAAGCAAATGAAGAAGTAATACTCTATTTGCAAATCATATGATTCTATATATCGAAAATCCTAAAGACTTAGAAACAATAAACAAATACAGCAGAGTTGCAGGATGCAAAATCAGTGTACAAAAATTCATTGCTCTCCTTATACTAACAGTGAAATACCAGTAAAATAGATAATGAAAACTATCACATTAACATTTGCAACAAAGAGGATAAAATACGTAGGAATAAATTTAACTAAGTAAGTAAAGGACCTATACATTGAAAACTGTAAGACATTGTTAAAAGAAATTGAGGAAGACACAAAGAAATGGAGTGATAGTTTGTGTTCATGGCTTGAAAAAATTAATATAGTTCAAGTGTCCATAGTATCTAAAGCAATATACACAATTAATGCAATCCCCGTCAAAATCCCAATGGCATTTTTCAAAGAAATAGAACCAAAAAAATCTCAAATTTGTAACCACAAAAGATCCAAGTAACCCACACAGTCCTAAGAAAAGTAAAGCCAGAGGTACCATACACACCCTATGACTTTAAATTATACTACAAAACTAAAATAAAACAGTGTGAGACTGGCAGAAAGGTAGACACACAGACCAATGGACCAGAATTGAGAGCCCAGAAATAAATCTACACATATATGAGCAACTAATTTTCATCAGAGGAACTCAAAACACAGTAGAGAAAGGAACACCTCTTCAATAAATGATGTTAAGAAAATGAAAAAACCACATGCAAAGGAATAAACTAGATTGCTTTCTGACACCATACACAAACATTAATTCAAAATGAATTAAAGACTTGAATATAGCCCAGCCAGCATGGATCATTGACCTATTAACCAGGAGGTCACAGCTCCATTCCCAGTCAGGGCACATCCCAGGTTGTGTGTTTGATCCTTGTTGTGGGGCGTGCAGGAGGCAGCTGATCAGTGATTCTCATCATTGATATTTCTATCCCTCTATGAAATCAATATATTTTATATAAATATATATGTGTGTGTGTATATACATATAAATGTGTACGTTTAATATATTTACATATATATTAAAAGACTTGAATACCTAAAACAATAAAATACAAAGAAGAATACATAGATGCAAAACTATTATGAACTTGACCCCAAAGGCAAGAGAAGTAAAAGAAACGAATGGGACTATAGCAACTAAAATACTTCTTTCTGCACAGCAAAAGAAACAATCAACAAAACAAAAAGGCAGTCAACCCAATGGGAGAAGAAATTTACAAATACTATTTCTAATAACAGGCTAATATCCAAAATATATATTTTTTAAAACATAATTCAACAACAAAAACTCCAATAAAGATGAGCAAAGGACCTTTTCCCAAGAAGGACACACAAATGGCCAACAGATACATGAAAAGATGTCCAACTTCGCTACCTATAAGGGAAATGAAAATCAAAACCATAATAAATCACCACCTCACACCTGATAAAATGCCTAATATCAATAAGATAGAAAATAACAAATGTTGGAGAGGATGTGGCGAAAAGGGAATCCTCATTCACTGCTGATGGGAATGTAAATTGGTGTAGCCTCTATAGAAAGCAGTATGAGGTTTCCAAAAAAAATTAAGAAAGGGGCTACCATATAACCAGCAATCTCTACTGGGCATCTAACTGAAAAAGTTGAAAACATTTATTCATAAAAATATATGTAACTCTGTGTTCATTGCAGCATTATTTGTGGTAGCCAAGAATGGAAACAATCTATTCATTGATGGATGATTAGATAAAAAAGAAGTGGCACATATATACAGTGGAATACTACTCAGCCATAAGAAAAGATGAATTATTGCCATTTACGACAGCATGGATGGATCTTGAGAATATCATGCTAAGTGAAATATTAATAAGTCAGATGGAAATGGACAAGAACCATATTATCTCAGTTTTATCTACACTAATAAAATAGAAACATGTAAATTAACCATCACTCCGCTATACCCACCTGCCAATCAGGAGCAAGTATGCAAATTAACCCAACTATTGTAAAATGGCAGCGAACATGGAGCTGGAGCAAACAGGAAGTTTGGGTTGCCCTCAGCGATGGAGGAAGCCAAGCTTTCTACCCACCCTGGCCGGCCCTGGCCTCTGCTCAAGGCTACAAAGTTTCAATTATAAAAGATAGATAAATAAGTCCCAGATACCTGCTTCCAGCCAGCCCTGGCCTCCATTCAAGTAGGTGCTGAAAAAAAGGAGGACCTGGGAGCTTGGGTCATCAGGGAGCATGGCTGGCCTGAAAACAGCCCTCAGCCCCTCACCCAGGCTGGCCACACCCCCATGGGGTGAGGGTCCCTACTCGGGGGCTTGACTAGCCTGCAAACAGCCATCAACCCATCACCCAGGCTGGCCAGGCATCCCAGCAGGGACCCCATGCCCAGAAGGGGTTGTGGCTAGCACAAAAATGGCCCTCAGCCAGGCTGGCCAGGCACCCCTGTGGGACCCTCACTCTGATCTGGAACACTTCTGGGCAAACCAGCCGGCCCCCACTGGTGCACCAGGCCTCTAGCTATACTAATAAAGGGTAATATGCTAATTAGACTGGGAGACCTTCCAGGACACCTTCACTAAAATGTATGGTGAAGTCAAAATTACTGAAATTGTGATAGTAGATGTACATGGGGAGGGGTGTGGTCCATGAGCTGAGAGTAGGTCCTGCTCGGGGAGTCAAATGCACATAATTCCTTACCTTTTTGATAGTCTTCAGATGTAGATTTTTTAAACTTCACACTTGTTTATTCTCTTTTTTCACAATTGATCGCATGAGTTTTTGCTTAAAGCCTAAGACTTGCCACTTAGGACAAGCCTAATCATTGCCACCTTTGGCTCCACACTTCTTTCTTTACCAATAATTGAACAAAAGCAAACACTGATGTCAGACAAAGATGAAAATGCCAAAGCAAAGTGTTGCTTGTGGACAACATCAATGGGAAGAAACTTTAAAATGTCCACTTTGTCAGCTGCTGCATGAATACCCAAATTCTGCATGCAGATAGCATGGTATCAACTCTGTATAATAAATAAACATATGGATGTGTTAGTTGAGGACCTCCTATACTAAAATCATATTCTCATAGGCTTAATTTGTGAACCAAAAGTGATTTGAAAGTTATTTTTATTTTACTCGAGTAACCAGTTTCCGATGATGAAAAATAAGATTCTGTTTTCCCAAGATTTCCCAACATCACCTCAAAATAGTAACCCCAGCCATCCAAGAAGGAGTGTGTTCTAAAACTTAGAAATGTGTTTTTCCATCATTAATTTTCATTCTCATTTCAAATTTTGAAATCGGTGGAGAAAAATCGTTCCTTTCCATCTGGCTGTCCTCTTGCCTGGGAAAGCTGTGCTGTCTTTCTTTGTTGTTCTGACAAGAACGTAATTGTGTGAGTGATCCATTCCAGATCCAGACAGAGCTCTCCCACCCTCTGACCCAGCCCAGAGACGCCGTCATGGAGCAGCAAAGGCGCTGTCTGACCTTCTGTCCCTCTCAGACAGGATCTGCCAGAAGCGTCCCTCCACAATGTTGCACATTCATATTCTCTGTAAATCGAATCTAGACATTCAAGCATGGCTGGACAGGCATTGAGGATGCAATTGGTGAGAGGCATTGACTCTACACTCTTCTTTAAATCTGTTTCAGATAATTATAGATGAAAGATTCTTATTTGGATCAGATTGCTATTTATTCACATATTTATTTTAGTAAGTGGTGAGGCAAGAAGATAAAAATGCAGAGTTGAAAGACAGATTGGCCTTGGATTGAGTTGATAAGAAATGTGTGGGGCTTTTTGGCTTCTGATCAATATTTGTATTCAGTGTGCAATCTAAAGTATGTATAATAAAAAGAAAACAGGTGGAAGTAATATCTGATTTTCGTTTCTTCGTTTCTTCCCAGTTTATATTCCAAATTAAAAGATAGAAAAGGCATTGAGAAAAGAGCTACAATCTTTTTTTTTTTTTTACTCTGGAAGAAATGCATGATGCTGGCAAGGTACATGTTTTGTGTCCAGTACCCATGTCTTTTTGTTTTCTTTTCTTGATTTGAGAGAGAGAGAGAGATTGATTGATTGATTGATTGATTGATTTGTTGTTCCACTTATTTGTGCATTCCTGGATTGATTCTTGTAAGTGCCCTGACCGGGGGATTGAACCTATAATCTTGATGTATCGGGACAATGCTCTAACCAACTAAGCCACGAGGCACAAACAGCAATCTTAATCACCCTACACCAAAATGATTAATAGGACTTCCATAAGACAGATTTTATTAGGTCATGATCTACCCCTCCAGAAACCTAGATATTCTACTTCTCTTGCCAAGTAGCCCTAAATTGCCCTCTGGTCAGTGAAGGCTCCAGCTAGTTCTTGTCCAGTGAACTTGCAGCCATTATGTGTGGGAGTTTTAGGGGACCTTTATAAAGAACTCAGGAGTTTAGGTGGTTCTTAAACTGTTAATCAGGCAGCTATTATGTTAACATAGCTCATGACTCTTCAACCACTTTCTGCTACATCTTTGCTGTTAATACTGGCTATTAATAATGTGACTGTCATTGGAAATTGCTTTACAGTTTACAAAATGTTTTAATGTATTCACAATATATGGTGGACCTAGTTTCTTTGTAGCTTACTGTGTCTCAAATTGATCTGGTTTAATGCAAGATTAGTTTGTTTACTATGAAGATTGGTTGTTTAGAATTCCTCACATTGAGGGAGAA